CTTGCCTGGTGTGTGCCAGGCCCCGGGTTCCAGAATGGAGGTTTCAACAAAATCAGCGACTTTACGTCAAACAGAGAGAGAAAGTAAAGCTTTCTTCTATTTGTCCTTTGGTTTAAAACTTGACAGAGTTGACAAATCTACATATTCCGTTCTTTTTGTAAATAGCCGTCACGTTCAATCACTCCACAGTAAAAAAAAAAATTTTAAAGATTAAAAAAAAAAAAAAGAATAAAAGCAAGACTTTTTAAGAAAGAAAAAAAAAAAAGATTTTCTTCTTTTTTTAATGGTTCCAACGATTGAACCCAGGGCCTCATACATACTAGGCAAGCTCCATCCCTGGCCCAAGATTTTTGTTTTTTAACTAAACTAAAGCTACTGGCACAGCTTTGCTTCCATCGATTGAGATTTAATTCAGGAGATAAATAGGTAACTAATTCAATATCTAATTGGCACATCTTAAATTTCTTCATCATAACAAATTTCAGAATCTCTCAAAGCAAAACTTTTATTTGTTTAAAGAAACAAAACCACGGTGGTCACTCTAAGCAGTGAGATACTCGGCTACTGCATATGCCCTTGACTTAGAAAGCAAACCCAAGGACAGCACAGAGGGTGCTCTGGGCAAATCAGAAAGGAGGGACCCATCCTTCAGTTTCTTTGGATTCATCTGGAGGGAGACAGAGTCCTAATATGTCCACTGTATCATCATATTATTTTTGACAGAAGACATTCCTCTGCCATCTTCCTGAGAACTATCATAATGATAACAGACACACCTAGGGTATGGCGGGCCCTCCCAGCAGGGTGCCATGTGAGGCACAGCCAAGCCTGGCAGCCTTGCTGTCATACAGTTTCCAAAAGTAGCAAAGGCTGTGCAGCAGGACTCATTTCACAATTGACGGAACTAACCGAATCCTCACCCATTATGGAAATCTCCCTGGTTCCACACCAGACCTCAGTTATAAATAACCTGGGCCGCCCTCCTCTCCCGGAAGCGGCATCCACCCAGGCTGAGGGAAGGGGCACACAGCCGTCAGGGCCAGGGGGCTGTGGAGTTCTACTTCTCAACCCATCAGGACTTTAAGGCCCCGCTGACGACTGGACCTCGTGGGGACACAGAGAGCTCACTGAAGGGCACCGTACCTGACGTTTACCTGACAGATTTAAAGTGGGGACACACAAGACAAGTCCAGAGAGCCCGGAGAGGGATCTGAAAAGCAAAGCCAACGAGCCACGCGGAAAGCCGCTAACAGAACTAAACGGAGTCTTATCTTCATTTACGCTTACACCGGCGGACCGATCCTCTTACCCCTGGCTGTTTCATTTTCTGAATGGCAAACTTGAGCAGGTAGGAGAGCTGTTCAATGGTGAGCATTGTCATGGCTTTGCTCTGGGTCTCGATGCACTCTGCTACTGTAATCTTCTACGAGTCAAAAATCATACACACACATCCGGTTAGAAAAAAGAAAATCACAGAGCCACGGGTTTATTCTCCTTCTACTTTTTCTTTTTCTTTTTTTTTTTTTTAAACATACACATAAAAAGAGATTCCCATCTAAACGTGAATAGCTGTTTCCCTTGGCAAGGACTCCAATCTACCAGACCAAAATATACTGGATCTGTGGGTAGACATTAGAAAGCAACCGGCCCACTGACTACCTTACAAGGAAGTGTCTCCAGCTCAGGGAGACGGCAGGATCTGGGGGAGGTGGGGGGACATGGGAATCTGGAAAAGCACCCGTATCCCAACCTTGGTTCTCAAGAAGGGGATGTGAATGGGAAGGTCACAATGCATTCGGGGGAGGGATCTCCTCCCAAGATGAACTTTCATCAGCTGCTTATCTCCAGCCTCTTGAGACTCAGAGCTATCGTGCAGGAACGTGGCCCAGCTCTGTCTGATGGCAAGAGACAGGGCTCCCTGCAGGAAGAACCCGGGGGTGGGAGTGGACTGATAATTAATAGGACTCCATTGCTCATCAGCACTGATGTGAACTCCCTTGGGATTCATGGGCACATTTCCAAAGGGCAGAATCTACCTGTCTGTCCACACAGGCAAGAGATGTCATTTCACAAGGGAAAGTCCCATCAAAGAGGAGACAGAGAGAAATGACGGAAAGTGGATTCTGCCATGGGACTGTGATACCATATCTCGGGGATTCAAAGGCCCGTGTCCTGGCAACAACAAAAATAACGTCTGCTCCTAAGTCATGAAATGTTCCTCAGCCATCTGTGAAGGGAGCGCGGATAAGTTTTCTTGGATGATCTGGAGTGTTTCCACTCTTCACTTCTCTGGGAACGCTCAGATGTGTCTGGCTGGTTGTTGAGGAGAAGGACCACCCAAGAGTCACTAGGAAGTTAGAAAGGCTGCAGATGCACGCCTCCCATCCCCGGGCTACCAGAGCCTGAGGAGCTGGTCCTGCCAGCAGTCTGCCTTACTGGGCGACCCTGGAGGAAAATCAGGTTGTGGATCGTGCACGCAGAACTCCTGATGGTTTAAATTCCAGTTTGATGCTGGGCTGCACCCAAGGAGAACACTCGGGTTACATGCCCAACTGTCCCTCACTCCCTCACCCCCTGCTCCCTCCGCCTGGCTGGCACCACCTGGAAGTGCTACACGAAGCCCTTAGGAAGCCTTTGCTGCATAGGAACTGAGGATGGGAAGC